AATTGACACCTCCTCAGTGTGGCATTCTCTGAAGAAAGTATTTATAACAAGAATATCCATCCAAAGCCAGCCCCTCCTACCTCTGGACTCTATTTCCCTTCATGGCATTTATCAATTTCTGGCATACTAGGTAATTAATTTATTCACTGGGTAAGAATCTGTCTTCTTCCAATGGAATGGAAGACCCAGGGGGACAGCCATTTTTATTTTGTTGGTAGATGTACCCCAGTGGCTAGAGTGGCTCTGGCACACAGCAGATACTATGAAGATAGATAGATAGATAGACAGACAGACAGACAGATAGATGGATGAGTGGATGGGTGACTAGATGGACGGATAGATGATAGATAGATAGATAGATAGATAGATAGATAGATGGATGAGTGGATGGGTGGATGGATGGATGATGGATGGATGGAGATAAATGAGTGGGTGGGTGGATGGATGGAGAGATAGAGAGAGAGATGAGTGGATGGGTGGATGGATAGATGATAGGATGGGTGGATGGATAGATGATAGATGAGTGGATGGGTGGGTGGGTGGATGCATAGATGATAGATGAGTGGATGGGTGGGTGGGTGGGTGGATGGATGGATGGATAGATGATAGATGAGTGGATGGGTGGATGGATGGAAATAAATGAGTGGGTGGGTGGATGGATAGACAGAGATGAGTGGATGGGTGGATGGATGGATGAATAGATGATAGATGAGTGGATGGGTGGGTGGGTGGATGGATAGATGATAAATAGATGAGTGGATGGGTGGGTGAATGGATGGATAGATGATAGATGAGTGGATGAATGGATAGATGAGTGGATGGTTGCATAGATAGATGAGCGGGTGGATGGATGATGGATGGATGGAGATAGATGAGTGGGTGGATGGATGATGGATGGATGGAGATAGATGAGTGGGTGGATGGATAGATGGATAAATAGATAGATGATAGATAATTTGTTGAATGAATGAATCACCTCTATAATTCTCACTATAGCCTTATGAAGGAAGTACATTGTTTTGTCTGTACTTCACCAATGAAGAAATTGAGTCTTGAGGCATCAGTGGTTTTCAAACATTAAATATTGTATTCCTGGGTCCAAAACTGATCTGGTGAATCTGCTTAGGCTCCATCATCACCATCATCATCCTTGTGGCTCTTATATGGCCCTTCTCCTGCGTCAGACACTGTTCTGGGTACTTTAAATGGCACCACACTCATAAGAGGCGGGCGCCATTCCCAGGATCATCCCCATTTTACACGTCAGAAAAACTAAGGCACGAGAGCTGACGTAGCTCGACCAGAGTCACACAGCTGTTATGGCTTAGCCAGGGGCCAAGGTACAAAAGTCTAGCTCCGCTATGGACACCTTTAACCACAGTGTTTTTCAGCTGTCTCTAAAGGGGACGGTCTATACTAGGAGTAGTGTAATCAGTCCCATTTATCCTGACCAGCATGTTTTTAATGAGATCAAATAGGACAGACTGGAATATAAAGACAGCAGTGTGAACTGCTATGGAGGATTTCATGCCTGAGGACCCCACCCTTTCCTCCCCGTAAGCGGGCAGGCACAGGGGGGCCAAATCGCTGGCCCTGGGACAGGGCGGGGGCGGTGGGGGGAGAGACTCAGCAGAAGCCGGTGAGGTCAAGGCTGGAACCTGGGCCTGCACGGAGCAAGCCAGGGAGCCAGGAAAGCCGGGGGCTTTCTGATCGCCTGTCTCACCAGCACTGCTAGGGTCAAAGACAAGGTCGCACCAGGCTGCGTGGAACCAGTGACACTCCTGGACTGCCATGGGGACACCTTTATATCCCCGGCCCTCCTGCCCACCGAGCCAGGCCCTGGAGAGGTGAGGGGGCAGCAACATATCACACTCCTTTTTGCTCCAACAAAATGTCATGCCCTGCACTTCCAGGAGCCTGTGTGCAAGGGGCTTTCCTGGGTACAGGGACCTAAAACTGCATTTCCTGGGGGGAAGGGACGGAGGACCCCAGCCCCGCCTCCCCCCACCCAGGCTCTCAGCACTGCCCCCCACTGGAATCTTATTTTCCCCTATTTTTTAAGGGAAAGGCTTTGTCTGAGCAGATTTTATCCTTCTTTCTGTGAGGCCACAGCGCCCCCAAGTGATCAACATGGTAGTTTGAGAAAAGAGGACAGGTGTATCTTACTGTGTGTCCTTGGAGGTAACTGCAGAACATAATTATATGTACCGCAGTTTACATTTGGCCTCTTTCCTTTTTATCTTTATAAGACTTCTTGGTGATTTCTCTAATTACACTTAGAACTAACATTTATTTCTGTCGCCTCTCTCTTTATACCCATGTCCTTCCCATTTCCTCTCGAGACTCCTGCCATGCTCAGGTTCACATGCGGGCTTGGCCAGGCTCCAGTCCCTGTGATCAAATCCGATGCTAATTCAGGTGTTTCTGTGCAGAGATCTGGTGGAGGTGGCTGCCATCTGCAGTCGGCACCCTGTGTGTGTGTGCCTCTGTGTTCAAGTGTCCCCTTCTTACAAGGACACCTGTCATGTTTGATGAAGGCCCTGCCCTAAGGACCTCATTTGAACCTGATTATCCGTAACAGATAAAGACTCCGTGTCCCACTAAGGTCACATTCTGAGATACTGGCGGTTCGGACTCCCATGCATCTTTCTTTTCTTGGAGGGGTGTGGCACAATTCAGCCCATAACAGTTCAATATAGCTTTCTAAAGAAAACAGCTTTAAAAATCATATTTAAAGGAAAAGTATGTGTGAGCTGTTTCCACTGTCCATTCTTTGAAGAAAATGTCTCCTTTCGTGATTTCAGAAAGGGTGGACGAGGGTCCTTAAACACTTACGCATGAAGCTAATATATCACTGTAGCGAAAGCATCACTGTCTTCCATCAGAGGAAAAAAAAAATTCCTCCTGGCATAAATTCAGACCATTTCTGCTTTTCTTTGGTAAAATTGCACTTGCTGTTGTTTTCTATAAAAAAACGAGGCGAATTTTAATTACGAACTTTAATTAGGGACTTCTGCTTCTGGCCAAGATGGAGTAATAGGGACCAGATTTCCTCTCTCTGAAACAACCATAAAAGGGGCAAAACACAGTGGTTTTTAAGACAATGGACATCAGGCTACGAAGGATAGTGATTACCGGTATGTGTGGGAAATGAACAAGGTGAGCCCTACGATTGCCCCAACTTACTGTCTTCAGAGAGTTTCCAGGTCATGGTGCAGGGGAGGAATCAGGCAGAGCCTTGTATATCCTGTGAGTTGAAGAGATGGAGCTGTGTGTCCAGGAGGACCACAGGGCCAGGGTTTATGGAAAAGAGTACTCAATAGAAGAGAGCAGCAGAGAGAGAGAAGTCAGGAGATCCATGGAGGGCCCCCCATGATCACTTAGCAGAGCAATGATCTGAGGCTCAGGAAAAGACCACCCAAAAGGACTGGAGTAAACAGTACCCAGTATTCACACTAGGCAGGGATGCATATTAACCTAAATGCAGACTCTCCCAGCTTTAAAAGAAGAAAAAGCACAACAGTGATTCCCAACTATCCTCAGGAAATGTTCTTACTATGGCCCACCAGAAACTGAATTACCTTCATCTTCAGCCTCATCTCTTGGCCCTGCCTCAGTCAGCTATGGCCACTAAGCTACTGTGTAACAAATAGCCCCTCCTCCATTCAGTGGCTTGCTCCTGGATTCCTCCTATTAAAGCCCTGAACCACCCTCTAAGAATTTCTCCTATTCTGTGCCCACTATGCTGTGAGGAAGCCCAAGCTAGCCACATGGAGATGTCTGGCCAGCCCATGGACAAGACACCACATGGACAAGAACCCAGGCCCCATACGGATCACCCTAAATGAGCCAGCCCAGCCATCTCCAGCTGTGTGGGTCACCTCAGATGAAGTCCCACTGTGGAGCAGAGGGGAAGCCTCCCTGCTGTGCCCTGCCCGACTTTCTAAACCACAGAATAATGAAATGAGCATAGTAAAATGTTTTTCCTCATGATATACATGTATTTGAACAATTCCTGCCAGCTTTTTAGTGGTTAAAAAAACAACAACACTTCTGCAGACTTCTGAGCTCTCAACATGGTTTATAAGGAATATGTGAGAGGTATTTTTTAAATCTTCAAATATAAAACTAAACCAGAAAAAAAAAAGCCTTCAGTGGCTTAAAACCACAGTCCTTTATTCTTGAGCCCACAGGTCGGTGCATTAACCTGGGAGGCTCTGCTCCATGAGTCGCAGGCTGGAAAGGACCCTGGGCTGTTCTTACCATGGCAAGGCCAGAAGCTTCCAGAAGGATAAGGGAAAACATGCAATCCCTCTTGAGGTCTACACATAAGATGAAAATTTGAAGTGTAAAGAAAGTGTGTGTGATGGTCTGATGGGCAGCCCTGGGGGCCCATAAAATAATGTGGCATCTCCCAATCAATGGCATGTTGATTTGGGTGAAATACATTTGTCTTCCCATTCTCTGTTCACCCGTTTCTTTGCTTTCCCAGTTACCTAAAGGGCCCGGTTAACAATTTCTGAATGCTAACAGAATTTCTTCATCGGAAGCACTTGAAAATACTGGCTGGCTAAGAGAACACGTCGATGTGCACGTTCGCTCTTACAACCGCTGGCCCGCATAGACGCACCTGTCACCTTCTCGGCTTTGGAGGGGAATTAGATCAAATTCCTCAAATGCTTTCCACTACTTCACGGCGAGCTGTGCGTGGTGAGCGGAGCTCCCGCCCTCGCTGCGCTGTTTGGCCTGTGTTCAGTGACTTAGCGTCTCTGATCCTCAGTTGTCCCCCCCCCCCCCCCCCCGCCGCTAAGCCTGTGGACTGCGCCCCGCCCCTGAGGAGGAGTCCCGCCCCCATGCCCCTGGCCCCGCCCCCACCCCGAACCCCAGGCCGGCTGCCGTCTCTCCGCGCGCAGGGCGGGGAGCTTCCGGGCTCCAGGCGCGGCGCCTCCTGGGAGTTGTAGTTCTGGGGAGACGTGCGGGGCCCCGCGTTGTCCCGCCGCGCACGCGCAGTCCGCCCCGGCCTGGCGCTCAGGCCCACCCGGGTGGTCGCGGCCTTGACCTGTGCGGCTGCTTTGTCCGAGCCACCGCGGGACGCGGAGCTACTGGGGTCCGCGCCGGCCGGGCAGGGCCGGAGACTGAGGAGAACCTGACCCGAACCCACCGAGATCGAGGGTAGCCGCCCACAGCCTTCGGAGCTGGTGCTGGGAGGCGAGGGCATTGGTGTGTGGTGTGCGCGTGCGGGTGTGCGCGCGCGTGTGCGTGTCGCTGTGTCGCTGTACGTTCGTGGCTCCAGCGCGGTGTGCATTTGAGTCCCACCCCGCCTGTCTCCGCATGTCTGCACGTGCATCACTGCAGAACTTTGTGCGTGGAGTCCGTCCCCGCATGTCACGTGTGTTTGCACCTGCGTGCCCGTGCAGGTGTGAGCCGCGCGTGTGAATCCGCCCCGTGTGTTTGCGCGAGGGTGACCACCTCAGTGTGTGCCCTTCAGGTGTGTAACTGTGGGGGCAACTCTGCATGTGAGTCCACCCCCACACACATCTGCCGGCAGGTGCCGGGTAAAGGGGGAACAGCGAGCATGAGTGAGCAGCAGGTGTGGGCACTGCGAGACCCGCGCCCGTGTGTGCCCGTGTGGGGAACCTGTTCTGGGTGTGGACCGTGTGACTCCGTGTCTGTCTGGGGGTGCTGCCATCTGTGGTGTTTTTCGATGGGCGTGGCTGCCAGCCTGAGCATGCCTGTGTCCTGTGTGCCTAAACAGGACTGCAAGTGGAGGTCTGCAGGGGTCACAGGGTGTGTAGGATTTGCTGTGCAAGCCTGGGGTCGCTGCATTTCTGCACACGGGCCAGCCCCTGCATGTGTGTGCCTGCGTGTGCCTGGGTGTGTCGCTGTGGGCCGTGTCCCCGTGCACACCTGTCTGTGTGGAGCACGGCAGCATGTGGGCTTCTGTGTGACCCCGTGTGTGTCCGCGTCTCCCCGATGGCTGCCTGTTTGTCTGCATGCCCGTGCAGGGACTACTCCGCCCTGAACCCACTTATCCTCCCACGCGCACCCAGAGGAAATGCCCTCTGCCCCAGCATCGTCCTTCACGGCTCCCATTTCTTTCTCTCACAGATGATCACTGGACCCACCAGTATGTGGCAGCCAGAGCAGGGGCCCCAAGCTGAGTGACGTGGACAGGACCTGATGCTCCCAAGACCACCAGGTGGGTACCCCTGCCCTCTCTGGGGACACAGGCCTGAGGGCTGCCTGTGGAGACGGCACCAGAACTGGGCCTGGCCCAGCCTGCCTCCCACCAGCAACGTTCTCACTGCTGCACACAGGACCCTGCTCACTCTGACCCTCACCCCCACCACACCTGATCTCCCCTGCTACCTGCCGCGGTTGTTCTGCTCTGCTCCCTCCCCCGATACCCAGCACCTTTGCTTTTCCTCTGTCATCCCAGCCATGGTCCTGCTCAGGACCTTGGCTTCTGCTGCACTCATGGCCCAGAACGCTCACTCCTTCACTTCTAGGTCTACACTCAGAAGTCTTCTCCCTGAGGCCTGGGCTCCGGGGAAGAACATTCCAGGCAAATTCAACAGCCAGTGCAAAGGCCCTGAGTCAGGAGCATGCCTGGAATGTTTGTGGAACGGGGGGAGGCCCATGGTTGGAGCAGTGAACTTTTGCCACACGTTCATAATTCCTAAAAGATAGATGGTTGAGTTCTCCTGTTTTTAACCTAAACAGCATCGTACCCGATCAATTCTTTGCATCTCACTTTGCTTGCGCACACTGTGTATCTGAGGTTCGGAGCTGGTACGGTGGCTGACAGGTGTTCGTGTTTATGCTGTGAGATACTCCACTGTATGAATATACCCTGTTCACTGGACTGCTCCCTTGCTCCTGGACAGCTGGATTGACTTCTAGTATTTGGCTGTTACAAACAGTCTTGGACAAGCCTCCCACGTACACGTGTGCAGTTTCTCCTGCTCACATTCCAGAAAATGTAATTACTGGGCTACAGGGGATGTGTGTCTTTAGCTTTCCTTGAAAATGCCAGTGATTTGTCCAGTGCCTGCTCCCACCAGCAGTATATTATGCATGGAGTTTGGGAGCTCCCTGTTCTTCTATGTATGATTTTTCTCCAGCAAAGAAAACTCAGCTCAGACTGACATAACCTAGTACTACAGACTCGGTGTCTTCGACAACAATTTACTCACAGTTTCGGAGGCTGGAAGTTCAGGATGAAGGCCATCAGCACAGTTGGGGTTCTGGTGAGGACCCTCTTCCTGGCTTGGAGATGGTTTCCTCCTCACTGTGGAGAGAGGGAGCTCTGGTCTCTCTTCCTCTTATGAGGACACCAATCCCATCATGCGGGGGGGGGGGGGGCTCATTATCACTTCAGGCTTTGATCTATGAATGGGGGGGGGCGGGCGGGGAGGAGACACATTCGAGCCTGTAGCACCAGGTTGCAAAGCTATATTTAAGAGCTATCAGGGGCACCTGGGTGGCTCAGTCGGTTAAGTGTCTGCCTTCAGCTCAGGTCATGATCCCAGGGTGCTGGGATTGAGCCTGGAGTCTGCCTCTTTGCTCAGCTGGGAGCCCGCTTCTCCCTCTCCTCCCCGCTCGTTCTCTATCTCTGTCTCTCTCTCTCAAATAAAATAAAGCTGTCAGAGTCTTGTTTTTGCAAGGATCTTTTAAAATGGTTTTCAGTTCGTTAAGTCAGTGGTTCTCAATGAGGGATCATTTTGCCCCCCAGGGGACACTTGGAAATGTCTGGAGACAATTTGGGGGTCACACGGTGGGGGGTGCTACCTGTAATCCACGGGTGGAGGCCCAGGGGTGCTGCTACACGTCCTACGGTGCACAGGACGGCCTGCAACAAAGAATGATCTGACCCCACCTGTCCGGAGTGAGGAGGCTGAGACCGTGCACAAAGTCTTTTCCAGCCCAGGACAAATGACCAACCTGTCTGGTTTTTCTCTTTTCTTTCAGGGCCAGTCAAGAAGATGCGAAAACAGGCAGTGGCTCGGGAAGCGGGGATGGAAGGACCCCTGCGCGAGGCTGGAGAAACCTGGAAACGAGAGGGTCAGGTCAGGGGCCGGCAGGAAAACCAGGAAAGCTGTTTGAAGCAGGAGGCCGTGGCCCACGGGGAAGACCCCGCCGGGGGCGGTGTGCGGGCGCAGGATGAACTGGGCGGGATCCCGGGGGCCGGGTCCAGCCCTCCCCGCGCCCAAACCGACAGCAGGCCCCCGAGGCGCCGGGCGCCGAGAAAGAACGCGAAGCAGAGGAAGGCCGGCTCGGGCGAGGAGGAGCGCGGGGGCGGCCCCCGGAAGCCGTGGAAGTGTGCGGACTGCGGCAAGGCCTTCAGCTACTGCTCGGCGTTCACCCTGCACCAAAGAACGCACACCGGCGAGAAGCCGTTCGCGTGCGCCGACTGCGGCAAGGCCTTCAGCCAGAGCGCGCACCTCACGCTGCACCGGCGCACGCACACGGGCGAGCGGCCCTACGCGTGCGCCGAGTGCGGCAAGGCCTTCAGCCAGGGCTCCTACCTGGCGTCGCACCGGCGCACGCACTCGGGCGAGCGGCCCTACGCGTGCGCCGACTGCGGCAAGGCCTTCGCGCGCCCCACGCACCTGGCCCAGCACCGGCGCGTGCACACGGGCGAGCGGCCGTTCGCGTGCGGCCGGTGCGCCAAGGCCTTCCGCAGCCGCTCGTCCCTGCGGGAGCACCAGCGCATCCACACGGGCGAGAAGCCGTTCGCGTGCGCGCGCTGCGCCAAGGCCTTCCGCTTCTCCTCGGCGCTCCTCCGCCACCAGCGCACGCACACGGCCGAGCGGCCGTACGCGTGCGGCCGGTGCGCCAGGGCCTTCACGCAGATGGCGCACCTGACGCAGCACCGGCGCGTGCACACGGGCGAGCGGCCCTACGCGTGCGCGGACTGCGGCCGCGCCTTCAGCAACCGCTCGCCCCTCGCGCAGCACCAGCTGGTGCACACGGGCGCCAAGCCCTACAAGTGCCTGGAGTGCGCGCTGGCCTTCAGCCACGTGTCCTCCCTCCGCGAGCACCAGAAGCGCCACGCGGGCGAGCGGCCCCACCGGTGCGGGGAGTGCGGCAAGGCCTTCAGCCAGGGCTCCTCGCTCTCGCTGCACCTGCGCACGCACACGGGCGAGCGGCCCCACGCGTGCCCCGAGTGCGGCAAGGCCTTCCGCAGCCGCTCCTACCTCATCCAGCACCACATCGTGCACACCGGCGAGAAGCCGTTCGAGTGCAGCGGCTGCGGCAAGGCCTTCCGCTTCTCCTCCGCGCTCGTCCGACACCAGCGCACGCACGCCGACGGGGAGCCCTACTCGTGCGGCCGCTGCGGCGCCTCCTTCACGCGGCCGCAGCACCTGACGCGACACCTGGGCTCCCACCGCGAGGACGAGCCGGTGGGCAGCCGCGAGCCTGCGGACGCGGCCCCCGGCCGGCGGGGGGACGAGAGCTGACGTTCCGCGGGGGCCTCCCGCAGCGCGGCGGCGCCGGGCGCGTTCACACCCCGCTTCCGGCCTCGCGGCGCCGGGGGCACAGCCGCCGGCCTCCCGGTGCTGCCCGTGAGGACCCCGAGGCTCAGGGAAGCTCGGTGACGCGCCCGGGCCCCACGGGAGGAAGTCCCCGCCGGGGCTCGACCCCGCGCCTGCCGGACTGGACGCCCACCCCCGCCACACACACTCACACACACACACACACACACACACACTCGACCCCACGCCTGCCGGACTGGACGCCCACCCCACCCCCTCCACACACTCACACACACACACACACACACTCGACCCCACGCCTGCCGGACTGGACGCCCACCCCACCCCCGCCACACACTCACACACACACACACACACACTCGACCCCACGCCTGCCGGACTGGACGCCCACCCCACCCCCGCCACACACACACACACACTCACACACACACACTCGACCCCACGTCTGCCGGACTGGACGCCCACCCCACCCCCGCCACACACACACACACACTCACACACACACACTCGACCCCACGCCTGCCGGACTGGACGCCCACCCCACCCCCGCCACACACTCACACACACACACACACACACTCGACCCCACGTCTGCCGGACTGGACGCCCACCCCACCCCCGCCACACACTCACACACTCGACCCCGCGCCTGCCGGACTGGACGCCCACCCCCGCCACACACACTCACACACACACACACACACACTCGACCCCACGCCTGCCGGACTGGACCCCCACCCCACCCCCGCCACACACTCACACACTCGACCCCACGTCTGCCGGACTGGACCCCCAGCCCCGCCACACACACACACACACTCACACACACACACTCGACCCCACGTCTGCCGGACTGGACGCCCACCCCACCCCCGCCACACACTCACACACACACACACTCGACCCCACGTCTGCCGGACTGGACGCCCACCCCACCCCCGCCACACACTCACACACACACACTCGACCCCACGTCTGCCGGACTGGACCCCCACCCCACCCCCGCCACACACTCACACACACACACACACACTCGACCCCACGTCTGCCGGACTGGACCCCCACCCCACCCCCGCCACACACTCACACACACACACACACACACTCGACCCCACGCCTGCCGGACTGGACCCCCACCCCACCCCCGCCACACACTCACACACACACACACACACTCGACCCCACGTCTGCCGGACTGGACCCCCACCCCACCCCCGCCACACACTCACACACACACACTCGACCCCACGCCTGCCGGACTGGACGCCCACCCCACCCCCGCCACACACTCACACACACACACACACACTCGACCCCACGTCTGCCGGACTGGACCCCCACCCCACCCCCGCCACACACTCACACACACTCGACCCCACGCCTGCCGGACTGGACGCCCACCCCCGCCACACACACACACACACTCACACACACTCGACCCCACGCCTGCCGGACTGGACCCCCACCCCCGCCACACACACACACACACTCACACACACTCGACCCCACGCCTGCCGGACTGGACCCCCACCCCCACCCCCGCCACACACTCACACACACTCGACCCCACGCCTGCCGGACTGGACGCCCACCCCACCCCCGCCACACACTCACACACACTCGACCCCACGCCTGCCGGACTGGACGCCCACCCCCGCCACACACACACACACACTCACACACACTCGACCCCACGCCTGCCGGACTGGACCCCCACCCCACCCCCGCCACACACTCACACACACTCGACCCCACGCCTGCCGGACTGGACGCCCACCCCCGCCACACACACACACACACTCACACACACTCGACCCCACGCCTGCCGGACTGGACCCCCACCCCACCCCCGCCACACACTCACACACACTCGACCCCACGCCTGCCGGACTGGACGCCCACCCCCGCCACACACACACACACACTCACACACACTCGACCCCACGCCTGCCGGACTGGACCCCCACCCCCACCCCCGCCACACACACACACACACACACTCGACCCCACGCCTGCCGGACTGGACCCCCCACCCCCACCCCCGCCACACACACACACACACACACTCGACCCCACGCCTGCCGGACTGGACCCCCACCCCCACCCCCGCCACACACACACACACACACACACTCGACCCCACGCCTGCCGGACTGGACCCCCACCCCCACCCCGACACACACTCACACACACTCGACCCCACGCCTGCCGGACTGGACGCCCACCCCCGCCACACACACACACACACTCACACACACTCGACCCCACGCCTGCCGGACTGGACCCCCACCCCACCCCCGCCACACACACACACACACACACACACTCGACCCCACGCCTGCCGGACTGGACGCCCACCCCCGCCACACACACACACACACTCACACACACTCGACCCCACGCCTGCCGGACTGGACCCCCCACCCCCACCCCCGCCACACACACACACACACACTCGACCCCACGTCTGCCGAACTGGACCCCCAACCCCACCCCCACCCCCGCCACACACACACACACACACTCGACCCCACGTCTGCCGGACTGGACCCCCACCCCCACCCCCGCCACACACACACTCACACACACACACACACACACTCGACCCCACGTCTGCCGGACTGCCCCCCCCCCCGCCGCACGCACACACACGCTCGACCCCACGCCTGCCGGACTGGACCCCCAACCCCACCACACACACACACACACACACACACACACTCGACCCCACGTCTGCCGGACTGCCCCCCCCAACCCCACCCCCGCCACACACACACACACTCACACACACACACACACTCGACCCCACGTCTGCCGGACTGGACCCCCAACCCCACCCCGACACACACACACACACACACTCACACACTCGACCCCACGTCTGCCGGACTGGACCCCCAACCCCACCCCGACAAACACACACACACACACACTCACACACTCGACCCCACGTCTGCCGGACTGGACCCCCACCCCCGCCACACACTCACACACACACACACACTCGACCCCACGTCTGCCGGACTGGACCCCCACCCCCACCCCGACACACACACACTCACACACTCGACCCCACGTCTGCCGGACTGGACCCCCACACCCCCCCCCGCCACGCGCGCACACACACACACACACTCGACCCCACGTCTGCCGGACTGGACCCCCAACCCCACCCCCACCCCCGCCACACACACACACACACACACACTCGACCCCACGTCTGCCCAACTGGACCCCCACCCCCACCCCCGCCACACACTCACACTCACACACACACACACTCGACCCCACGTCTGCCGGACTGCCCCCCCCCCGCCGCACACACACACACGCTCGACCCCACGTCTGCCGGACTGGACCCCCAACCCCACCCCCGCCACACACACACACACACACACACACTCGACCCCACGTCTGCCGAACTGGACCCCCAACCCCACCCCCACCCCCGCCACACACACACACACACACACTCGACCCCACGTCTGCCCAACTGGACCCCCACCCCCACCCCCGCCACACACACACACTCACACTCACACACACACACTCGACCCCACGTCTGCCGGACTGCCCCCCCCCCGCCGCACACACACACACGCTCGACCCCACGTCTGCCGGACTGGACCCCCAACCCCACCCCCGCCACACACACACACACACACACACACACACACACACACTCGACCCCACGTCTGCCGGACTGAACCCCCAACCCCCCCACCACACACACACACTCACACACACACACAATCGACCCCACGTCTGCCAGACTGGACCCCCACCCCCACCCCCGCCACACACACACACACACACTCACACTCGACCCCACGTCTGCCGGGCTGCCCCCCCAACCCCACCCATGCTACACACACACCCTCTGCCTCCCGGTGCAAAATTATAAATGTGACCCACAACAGTAGACCCAAAGAAGTGTCTGTGCGTCTCTAGCGAGCCTTTTAATGGTTGAAGGTTTTTATGACAGTAGGTATTTGTTCAATAAATTTAATTGGATAAAAGGTTCGGCTCCTTTGGTGACGTGGGTATATTAACTAAGGGAGCGGGGCCTGAAGAAGAAGTGTAGCTTCTTAGGACTGAAGCATGCTTCCCAAATTAGAACGAGCCAGAGAAATGCAGAGAAGGACAAGTTCTAGAAGAGACTTGCCTCTCCCCTGACAGACCTGCAAAGGGAGATTTTGAGAGTGGACTCCGGCCTTTTTCAGGGTGAGGACACACGTTCCCCTACTCCAGCTTTCTCCCCCCACCCCCCAACCCCAAATCCTGCCTTTAATGATCGTGTCAGCTTTTGCTGTGTAAGTCATGCAGAGCGCAGTTGTCTGTTTAATATTTCCCATGGTGGGTGTTTCTCTTGGTCTGGACCAGGCCCAGGGGATCTTGGCTGGACTCGATTATGCATCTGCGGTCAGCTGAGGTTCGGAGGGGGGCTGGCTGTCCCAGGACTGCTCAGCTGGGCCAACTTCACTGTCTTCCTCAAGACTCGCATCTAACCTGGGTATGCGCTCTTAGCAGTAGCAGGAGTTTGGGAGAGTGGACACACCCAAGCACAGTTTCAAGCCTTTGATAATGTCAGGTTTGCTTCTGGACCTATCAGCAAAGCAAGCACCATAGCTAAGCCTGGGGACAGTGTAGGAAGGGCCTTCCCAATGGTGTGGGAGACAGACGAGAGTAGTTACCCACTATCCCAGTGAGGTAATTTATAGTCCGACAGCACGATCGCTACAAAATTATGTTATGGGTAACACATTTCTTGGGTCCACAGTTAGCAATTAAAAAAAAAAATCCTACCCCTATCCTACTTCATCCCCTCTACCCACCAAGTCCCCCTCCCTAGGAGCAACCATTCTTGAGTTTCCTGGTATCTTTCCAGCATGTTCTATGCATATAGAAGCAAATATTTATGTGACTATTTAAAAAGGTGTACAGCATATCTTTCTACAGAATAGTAGCATATGGCATACAGTTTCCCACCTTGTATTATTTATATTTGGAAGCACTTTGTATCATTAGAGAAGAGAACAGATGTTCTCATTTCACAAAGTTTGGGCATCAGATTTCATAGGTATAGAATCACTTACAGTTGTTTTGATCTCACTGTGATGTGTCCAGCTCCAGAAAAGAAAAAAAATCACGGAAAAATATTTTTCAGTTAGGAATGTCTTTTTTACAAGGTTGACCAAAAAAACTGTCCTGTGTCATGGGACAACATTAACCCCCCCTCTGCATAAAAACGAACCCCCCACGTTAAAACATTTTTGTGAGATTTTTCAGTTATACAAAAAAGTGTAAAGTACAATAAATGCCCATATGCCCATCCAATTTGAATGCCTTAAAAAATATTATTTTAATAGAACAGGAACACAGTACTTAAAAATGTTTTCATAACAAAATCTACCATATTTTATGATACATATTTGCTTTTAAAATAGGTCATGAAAATATGCCTATGTTTTTTTCCTGGTCTATTTTAAAGTAACTTGCAGATATGATATCACTTTACTGCTAAATACCTTAGTTTGCATCTCTTTAAAAAAAAAGTATCTTCTGTACAACCACAATGTTATCACACCCCGTAAAATATTAATTTCTTGATATCATCCAGTGTCTATTCCATATTCAGATTACCTTGGCCCCTGAAAAAGTTTGAAAAAGGTATGTAATTTGTCAGAAAATAATGTCAAGCCTTGAAAATAAACACAAATTATCTTTAATGTGTATAAGGAGGAGGGAAGTTAAGACGGCAACACAGACACAAACACAAAGTCATCTGTCTTCCTGTCCACCAGCTTCCTTGGCTCTCAGTCCTACCAAGGAAGCTGGTGAGGGGCCAAGGAGGACACGATGTGTGCCTTTACTTTTGCCCTGGCATTATCTGCACAGGCCTTGGCACGCAGTAGGTCCTCGGGAAATCTCACATGAATAGACGAATGAGTGAAAAATCCCTGACCTGCCTTACAGAGTCAAGACTCGTGTCTGAGTCTTCTCCGTGCGCCAGACATCACTCAGGCCTCAGCACAGAGTAGGTCCTCATGAAGTACTGGGTGACTAGTTGTACATCCCAGCATCAGCCCTGGAGTCATTCAGGGTCAGAGACCACACAGCTGGTTCCTTCCTGTACCCCAGACATCACCCAGCCCAAGCATCAGCACACAATAGGTCCTTAGGAGATATAAATTAATAGGGCATGTAAATTAATGAATAAGTGAATATCCTTAGCACCAGCCCTGGATCAGAGAGCATGCATCCTGGTTCCTTCCTGTGATCCAAACTGTCTAGCCCAAGCCTCAGCACATAGTAGGTCCTTAAGAAGCTCTAGGTGACTGAACAATCGTACATACCAGCATCAGCCCTGGAGTCATTCAGATTCAGGGAGGACACAGCCTGTTCATCCCTATGCCCCAGACGCCTCCCAATTCAGGTGTCAGCACACGGTAGGTCCTCAAGAAATACTGAATGAGTGAATAGTTGAACATCCCCAGCTCCGACCCTAGAGCCATTCAGGGTCATGGGCCGCACAGTCAGACTCCTCCTTCTGACCTTCGCCCAGCTGAGGTGCTCTGCACACAGTAGGTGCTCAGGGAGTGCTGGGTGAATGGATGAATGAGTGGAATGGGAACCTAGTTGACAGACATGGGGCTGAGTTCCGTCACCGCAGAAGGCAGGGGAAACTGACCCTCTGCGGCGGAAGGGCTGGAGGTCGCTGGGCTCTGCGCGAGTGGGCGGGGCCGTGGGCGGGGCCGTGGGCGGGGCCCGGGGTCCACGGCGGGGGAGGAGCTGAGCTCCGGGAGGCGCGCTGCGGAAGACACCTGTTGCAGAGCTTTCGAAATGCCGGATGGGGTGAGGGGGAAAAGGAACCGGCAATCAAGGAACACCGCGGCGCCGCCAGCCCGCCAGCCTCACACCACGCATGCCAGGTTCCTCCTTAGGGTTTTAGATTGGCCATATTTGCCAACTTACGTGACGCCCCCCCCCACTGTGTTCCCCAGATACTATGTACAGATACCACCCTGGGTCGGTTCCAGGAGGGGACAGGGCAGCTTCAAGCGCATGGGGCAGGGGGTCGGAAAGGGTTGGGGCCCCACCAGCTGGCGTGGAGAGAGTTCCTGGGAAATGCAGGCTGAACTCTCCCCTCCCCCAACTCAACCTTCCTGGACTCAGTTCCTCCAGGGAGACCCGGCAGAGGAGGACAGACCAGAACCTCATGACCCCATAATGGTCAGGTGGTGATACAGTTATGCAGACAGTGACCAGCGGAGGGAGGTGCTGTTTGGGGACGGTGGGGGAGGCCTCTCTGAGGAGACGTTGGAGCGGAGCACTGCAGGAGGTGAGGGAGCCACGTCAGCTTCTGGGGGAAGAGCATTCCGGGCAGAGGTCCGTTCCGGAGGCAGTGCAAAGGTCCGGAGGCAGGCGCATGATGGGCTCGTTCAAACAGCAGAAGGCCAGTGCGGATGCTATAAATTAAGCCAATTTCATCCCGAACTGTGGTGGCGTAACATGAATCAATAATTAGTCACCAACGAGCTTAAGCTCATTTGAATTGAGCTTCTGTTATTTGCAACCAATAAATCCTAATGAATGTAGCAGCTGAGGCTTGTGTTTCTTTTAACTGTCTGTTGTTGCTCGTTGGATGCAATCAGCTGGAGGGAAGGATGGGGAGAGACAGAGTCCCATACTTCTCCCGGCCCTGATTTCTTTGGCAAACTCAGGAGAGGCCACTGGAAGTCCTATTAAAACAAAATGATACAAAGAGTCTAAATACACACACGTACACACACACACACAGATGAATTTAAAAAGAACAGGATGGAAATACCAAACTCTATCAGACAAGGTAAAATAAAAGCCAAAGGATTGAATTGGTTTAAAGACGATCATTTTCTATTTCACAAAGGATTCAGAATCAGGTTTTAACTAACATTTATTGCGTGGCTACCGTCTGCTGGTATTGTGCTTAGTGTCTTGCATGTATTCTTTAATTGGCAAAGACATAACAGTGCTGTAACTATGTGCAGCAGATGACACAGTGGCTGAATACATAAAGCAAAGGTTACAAAAATACATTGACAAACACAGTCATACGAACAGATTTTCACATAACCTTACTGGTTTTTGACAGATAAGGTGAGCCAGAATTAAATAACACATGAATCTAAGCAATATAACTGATAAGACTGAGTTAATTAACAGACATGTAGAGTTTCGAATCCTACAGACTGAAAATACATATTCACCTTAAATGTCCATAAAACATGTACAAACATTGGACGTGTTGCAGGCCACAATAAAAGCTTTTAAAAGGGTGTTGAAAGCAGATATATTAGAGGCCACATTTTCACTGTGCAGTAAATCATTAAAACAAAACTATTTTTAAATAAACCTGATCACTGAGTTTAAAGTACTCTTTATATTGTAGAAACACTACAATATAACATTTAGGCAACAACATAAACAAGAACACAAATTACCAAACTTTAAGATGTGGCCAAGGCTACAATCAGAGAAGTACATTTATTATTAAGTACACTAGTTTAGCAAATAATTTTGTAAGAAGAGATTATAAATGAATTAATTACTCAATGTAAAAACAGACAAGAGATAGAAATAATAAAAAAAAATAAATAAACCCCATACGTATTAATGGAAAACAAATTACAAACTAGAGAAATATGGATATAAATAAATCCCAATGCTAGTTCTTGGAAAAGTAATCGTAGATGAGGTAAAACTTCGATAAATCTAATAGTGGGCCAACCACAAACAGAAGTTGAAAGGAAGAAAGGGGTTAGAACAAAATAAAGAGAAGTTTTTCATTTAATTATAGAATAGTATTCATAATTCAGCCAATAATCTGAAAAGTTCAATGGAATGAAGAATTTCCTAGGGCATTAAAAAAAAAACAAAAACGCTATATAAATCACCAAAATTAATGAGGTAAAAAGTATTCATAAACCGATAACATGGGAAGAAACTGAGAAAGCCCCCCAAGAATTTAGCTGAAACTTTCTCCCCAGAGCTCCAGGCCCTGATTACTGGTAAATTCTTTCAAAATGTCAAGGAAGTGATACTTCTTAAGCTACGGAAACTATTCTAAGGTTTAGACAACAATAAAAGTGACGTCCTTCTATGATGCAAGTCTGGCCATGTTACCAAAACGTGACAAATATAGCACCAATCTTACATATGAAGAGAGAGGCGAGAGTCATACATAAAATATCATGAAGTACAATTCAGGGTCTGGAAAGACTGGTGCACCATGATCCTAAGACTACAAAGATGATGTGATATTAAGAAGTCTACCAGATTTCATCAATCCCAAGTTGCACATTTTTTCGTCCTCTCTGAAGCAGGGATGCATCTTCCGGTTGGTGGCATCTTACGATGAAGCAGCATATTTTCCTTTCTCAGTCGTATATAAAATAATATGTGTTTTACAATCAACAATGTCTTAAGTTCAATGAAATACCATAATGCAAAACCTCACCCCAAAAGGTTAAATACAAAAAAAAATTTTTTTTCTTGATAGATGTTTAAAAGGCATTTGCTAATAACCTATTCCTGATTTTTAACCAAGACATTTCCTTAACAAGAAACAGTGCATCTATTTCAGAACAGTCGTCATCACTGTAGTTAAATGTGGAACATCATAGGCATCCCTGTTAAAACCAGGAACAAAAACAGGACACACACTACCAAGACTATGGTCGTTTGTTGTGGAGCTTTCGACCACTCCACAAAGCCCTGGAACAGAGAAAAAAAAAAGTACAAATATTAGAAACAGAGGGGCCAGCACTGTTTCTTGCCTGGCACAGAGTATGAGCTCTGTAAATCTTTGTCAAATGAACGCAGGAACAGAAAGACATACCATGATGAAGGATGGGAAGACAAAACGGTTAATGGTGACAATTCTTCTCCAAAATAGTGATGAGTAGAGTGCAACAGGTCTTAAAATATCAGGAAAGTTTGGGGAATGGATATGACATAGGGAGTTATCTGGAAAGCCAGGCAGTGGCGACATGAAAAAAAAATCCTGAAAAAGAAGAGAAATGGATGGAGCATATACTATGAAATGTTCAACCTAAGCAGCTCTGAGACCTGGCAAAGCCTCTGAAAAACTTGGAGGATATTTTTCGAATATCGGGGCTCCTCCCTTGGATTTTCTAATGCAGTAGATCTTGGCTAGGACCAGAACATACAGATTTTTATGAAGTTCCTCATAATTCATGCTATAGAAAAATAGGACAACTTGACAAATATTTATTTTTCTGTGGCAATCACAACACCAAAATCTGACAATTCATCAGTTGAGGAAATGGGTATGACACAGCATACCAACCACAAAATATTTGGCAGCTGTAAAAAGTAAATTAAAAAGGGCGCCTGGGTGGCTCAGTCGTTAAGCGTCTGCCTTCGGCTCAGGTCATGATCCCAGGGTCCTGGGATCGAGTCCCACATCGGGCTCCCTCCTCGGGGGGAGGCCTGCTTCTCCCTCTCCCACTCCCGCTGCTTGTGTTCCTGCTCTCGCTATCTCTGTCTCTGTCAAATAAATAAATAAAATCTTTAAAAAAAAAAGTAAATAAAAAAATATATATATATAAATTAAATAAATATATATATGGAAAGTTATCCAGAATATTTATTATGAAGACACCAAATGGCAGGATAATAATTTTGCTATAATCTCTTTTTTGGGTTTTAAGAAATATATGTGAGTTATTGTAGGACTCTATTTATTCGAAGCTCAACAATAGGCAAAACTAATCTATATGAGCCGAAATCAGAAATGTGGTTGTCTTGGGGTGGGGGAGTGAGAGAGACTAGAAAGGAAGATGAAGGAATTTTCTAGGATAATGGCAGCGCTTGATATCTCCATCAGGGTGTTGGTATACATACTCACTGATCTGTGCACTTCATTAGAAATATTTATGGCAACTTTTTAAAGCAGAGTATAAAGTTAAGAAAGCATAATAAATACAGGTCATCTGCAATGCAGAAGTTTTACACACACACACACACACACACACACACACCACGTACCACTAATAATAGACCCAACCCTGCCTCACCTGGTTCCCCTTTGTCGCTCTTCCAACTGCTGTGCATATCGGCTGCTAACTATGGTTCAGCGCTTATATTTATGATTGCCCCCTTCCGGGAAATTCCCCTAGAGAATCACAGGGGAGGTCGTCCACACCAGTGAAGGGACGTAACAGGCTCCCCACCGGCTCAGAGGAGGATGAGGACTATTGTTGCTCCAGAGCTCCCCGTGGGATGGGGCCCAGGCTGGACCCCAATTAAACTCCGTCTCACTCTTTCCAGCTTCCTCACCACCTACAGGTTCCTCCTGAGAGCACAGCACCCTCAACAAATCCCTTGCACAAAAATCCCAACTAGTCTCAGTTTCCAAGGGGAAAAACGTCTACAAGGATATATGGCAATGGAGTGGAGTGACTGCATATGGATGGGTGGGTGGGTGGGTAAGTACACAGTAACTGGATGTATGCATGACGTGCAGGCGAATGAAAGGTTGGGTGGATGAGAGGACAGTAAATGGTTGATGGGTGTTCGATGAGTCGGTGGATGATCAGACGGGTGAGTGGACGGGCGGATCAGTGGGCGGATGGATAAGGAGATAGACACAGGAGGTACATGAATGGACAGACGGACAGAGGGAGGGATGGAATGCGTATATGGATGAGTAGGCAAATGAAAGGTTGGGCAGATGAATGAGGAGGCAGGTGAATGAATGGCTAATTTGAGTTTATGAGTGAAGGGTTGGCGGGTATGTGTGGAGGGAGATCCACATCACATGGAGACCCTCCACTCCATGTCTGACTACCACCAGACTATGTCCTGTTTCCCATGGGACACTGCTTGGTTGGGGAAATTCCAAGCTGAGGAAAGGAATGGACAACCCACTGAGATCTGTGGGGCGGGGCATCTGGGAAAGAGGAGGGAACCCCCAACTTACCTGAGAGTCTTCTGACTCGTCATCTCCCTCCACTGCGTTCCACTCCTGGGCCAGCCCAGGCTCTTGAGAAGACAGACCTGAGCACAGGAGACAGGACCACGAGTCAGTGACCAGGGCAGCTGGGGGGTGGGAGGGAGGGCTCTGCCTGCTCGTCCCACCTGCATCCTACCCTGTTCTCTTTCCTGTCACACTCACGTGCACACACACATTCTGGCCCACGTGGTTCAGGTGGTGCAGAGAGAATACAAGACCTGAATTCTGATCCTGTTTCTGTCATTACCCAGAAGACTTAAAGTGGGTCACCTGATGTGATCTGCCACCTGAGCCTCTGTTCCTTCACCTGTCAAATGGGTAAAACTGTCCCTTCTCTACGTGCCTCCTGCAAAAACTGAGTGAGGGAGCAGAGGAAAAAGTGTGGAATTAAGCCAGGATGAAGCAGGCTTGCCCAGCTTCCAGCCACCAGTGTAGACATCTCCCCATATTTGAACTTCAACAACCTTCTCACCCCTTAGCTGGATAGAACTAGGGGTCAGGCCAAAGATCGGCATTTTCCACTCCTCCTGCACCCAGGCTCCGCTAGGAGCCCCCCAACCTCCTCCTCACTACCAGAACTGACACCCATATCATCCACACCTCCGTCCCAGGCCTGCTTGTCCCCTGTGGGAGAAGGAAAGACCCCGCCCCAAGTAGAAGCTCCAGCCTTTCAGGGATCCCACCCTTGGTCCAGCTGTTTGAGCCCCAACCCCAGGAGTTATCCTGGGAATCTCTCTTGTCCTCCCCTCCGCACATCCATCTGCAAGAACTCCGATTCTCCCTCCCAGATGTGTCCCCAATATCTCTTATGTCCACCAACTGCCACATGTGGGCTTGGTCATCTCTCTCCCAGATGGTTGCAGGAAACTCCTATCTGGCCTCCCAGCTTCCACTCCGACCTCCTAATCCTACAGTTCATCCTCACACACAGCTGGATGCAGGCTTTCTCAACCTGGGCGCCATTGACCTTGCAAGCTGCGTAACTCCTCGTAGTGGGGGTGGGTCCCGGGCCTCGTAGGGTGGGTCCTTGTCCTCTGCCTAGCAGCATTGCCTCGACCCACTTTGTGGCGGTAGCACCTTCGCCATTCAGATAACCCAAACTCCAGACTTTGCCAAACGTCCCCTGGGGAGGGGAGGTGGGATGCAACATGGCCCCCGGTTGAGAGCCACTGAGTTGGCAGAATCTTCTTGAAACACAAATGAGATCCTGTCTTCCTCCTCTGCAAAACCGTCTGGCGGCTTCCCAATATTCAGCTAACATACGCTGTGCGGCGGTCTCCGAGACGCCCATCACTTGCTGGCCCCGGCTGGTCTCTACCTTCTTCCCCCGTGCCTCCGCCGGCTCTTAGAATAAACGACCCCTTCTCCTGCCTCTCTCACCCTCCCTGACCACACTTGGGTCCCTCCCCGTCAATCATCCCATTTTACTGTCTTTGGAACCCTCGTCAGACATTGCTCTTCTTTTTATTTCGTTGCTTGTTTATTGTCTGTTTCTCCACTAAAACCAGCTCTACTGGGGCCATCTTGTTTGCGGCTAGATCCCGAGCACCTGGTACATAGTAGGTGCTTGTGGTGGATTTTTGTTCCAAATGGCCTTCCACTTGTTCACCGATCCCTGTGTCCACACCCCTGGGCAGCCCCCTCCCTCAGTGATACTGAACTTGACCACGCAGCTCACTTTAACCCATGACCTGTGAGCAACTGGGCAGCCAGGACAGCTTAAAAAGTGCTTGCGAATTGAAGTTTTCCCTCCCTTTCCCTGCAACCATCCTCAGGAGAATACGCCTGGGCTCGCCTGCAGGAGACAAGGAGCCCAAAGTCAGCACCCTCAAACCAGCCAGACCCGCAAGTGAGGTCAACCAGCTGCCCCAGCCAGCTCACCGTGGATTTTCGGGCAAATGCAGGCTGTCCCCTGAGGCCGCGTCATATGCTGACCTGCAGAATCCTGAGCAGAGAAATGACTGTTGCTATAAGCCACTAAGTTTCGGGGCCACCTGCTACCCAGCAAAGGCTGATGGACACAGGGCTCCATAAATATCTGTCCACTGAACGAGTGAAGGGATGAGTGTTGTGTCTTTCCAGAGGCTCTGCCACAACCTTCCCCCCACCGCCCATGGGACGCCGGACCCTCACCTTTCTCGTCACCGTCACAGTTGGTGGCCCCAACCTCCACAGCCACCCAGTCTTTGGCGAGGGCGGCACGCTTCTCCCAGGCCCTGCTCTCCCGGGGAAGCAGCGTCTTGGCCCTCTCGGGCTCCAGCAGCCCCCGAATCTGCTCCGGCCTGAGGCTCTGCATCTTCCTGGGATGGAGAGTTTCCAAGGCAAGCCGCTCGTCCTCCTCCTGCTCGCGTTGGGTTCCCTGGGCACAGGATTCAGAACCTGGGGGGCTGACAAACATTTCGTCATTCCACAAATATTTACAGAGTGTCATCTGTGTGCCAGGCACCATCTGTAGGTGCCGGAGACACAGCAGTGATGGAAGCAGGCTCCCTGCTCCCGTGGGGGCTTGCATTCTAGCGGGCCCTGGGCGAGGAGAGACGGCATGCCAAGTGATAAGTGCCCCAGAGACAAATAAAGCAAGAAACTGAAGAGGAATTTCGAGGTGGGGGCCAGAGAACGGCACATTCACACACAGGTTCATTCCACAGCCCAAAGCACATAGCCAGAAGGTTTTAGGAAGACAGAGTTGCCCCCAGATCCCCCCCGGTTGCAGAGAAAAGGGTCACAGTCTTTCCACCAACCCCCAGCAGCCCCAACTTTCTCCTTTGTTGGCATAAAAGAAAACCGAGAAGCATTCCCCAGGTGAGGGGTTAAAAGTCTAATTTAAAACGAGATGTTCTTTAGTATTCTCATTCTAGATCTTGTCAACCCAAACTTCAGGAGGTTGTTTGCAAGGAGCTGTCTGGACTACACTGTGTTACCCTTTACCTTGAGACCCTAAATCTGGTTTATGTTCTTATTCTAGAGATCTGTCTGCATTATCAACCTTGCATTATATTAACCTACCGGCGGCCCTCGTGAATAGTGATCTTTTTTAAAGGAGTAAATTCTCTTGGTATAGGGAAAATAAAAGCTTTTTAAAGCATTTTCTTCTTTAGTTTTATACAAATAAAAATTGTTATATCAAATTTAGAAACCACAGGGCATATAGTCTAGAGTCAAAGAGACATTAGCGACTGAACAATCAAAAGCATGTGGGGACCATGTTTGGAGTCAGAGTCAAAGAAACCTGGTGTGAAACAAAACAAAAAAAAAACTTTTTAAAGACAATCAAGGGAATTGATTATGGACTGGGTATTCGATGACGTCAGGGCACTCTCATCGCTTCTGTTGGGTGTGGAAATGGTCTTATGGACAGGTAAGAAAATATCCATCTTATTTTTTTAGAGATGTTTTTGTAGTGTGTAAGGGTCAACTGACATGATGGCTGAGATTTGCTCTAAAATACTTCTGCGGTGGCGCCTGGAGGGCTCAGTGGGTAGAGCATGACTCTTGGTCCCGGGGGGCATGAGTTCAAGCTCCACATTGGGCGTGGAACCTACTTTAAAAATAGATTAAAATTAAATTAAATTAAATTAAATTAAATTAAATTAAATTAAATTAAATTAAATTAAATTAAAAAAATAAAATAAATAAAATAAAATAAAATAAAATAAAAAACACTTCTACAGTGAAGGAAAAGGACAGACAAAAGGGGGTCAGAGCAAACAAAGGATGATTTCTGAACCTGGAAAAGGGGGAGATGTGGCTCTCAGGGGTATCCCTGTGCCCGTGAGTAGCTCTGAAATGCTTTCATATCAGAAACTAACACATACACTACGGAGATGCAGAATGTGCTCATTGCTTCTACGTTACTCATCATCACGGAGGTCTTCCTTGCGGACAGGGGCAGCTCAAAACCCTCGAAACCCAAATCTGAATGCAATTCCCCAGACACCGGTGCCCTCTGTCCCCAGCCCCCAGCACAGCCTGCCTCCTGGGGCCCCTGCTCTTGACCCGGGCTCCACCATCGTCCCCAACAGTGTCCACAGGCATCACTGTCCTGATTTTTGTCTCGTCACCTGCACATCCAGCGGACCACTAAGCGCACCTGCTCTTGTCTTAGAAAATGCTGCCCCGCTCTGTTCTCCACCCTCTGTCTTCACCCTCTGGCCCACTCCGCCATTGACCCTGCCGATCCCCTTCCCTCGCCGCACTCCCCAGTCCATGCTCCTCAAGAGCCCCTCTGGTCAGGATGCTTTCAATGCTCCACACAGCGGTGCAGGGCAGGCTCCTGACATGGCCTCAAGGCCTCCACCACCACCATCCCTACATTTTCCCTCCTCCTGGACAGCCCAGGAGGTGATCCTAGACGCACCCGGGACTAAACAACAATGAACCCCACCGAGGCAAGGTTCCCCCGCTCTTCGGTACCCTCTTTTATTTCTTTCTAAAAATTGAGTTAAGGGCGCCCAGGTGGCGCAGTGGGTTAAGCGTCCGACTCTTCATTTCGGCTCAAGTCGTGATCAGGGTCCTGGGATCCAGCCCGGGACAGGCTCTGCGCCCAGTGGGGAGTCTGCTTGTCCCTCTCCCTCTGCTCCTCCCCCACTCACACCCTCTCTCTCAAAATAAATTAAATACTTTTTAAAATTTGAGTAAAAATACACCTAACACAAAATCCACCATCTTAGCCATTTTCCAGTGTGCAGCTCAGTGATACTGAATGAATCCATTCACAGTGCCCTGCGGCCACGACCACCATCCAACCTCCTAACTCCTGCTCACCTGAGACTCTGTCCCCATTGAACGCCACGCCCAGCCCCCAGCCCCGGGCACCACCATCCCACTTTCCATCTCTAGGAGTCTGACTACCCTAGCTACCTACATAAGTGGGATCACACAGTATTTGTCCTTTGGTGCCTCGCTAGGTCACGCTGCATAATGTCGTCAGGGTTCATCCACGGTGGAGCTCCTGTCTGAGGTTCCCTCCTTCTTAAGGCTGAATAACACATATTTGCTTGTCCATCCAATGCTGTAGCCACTGTGAATAATGCTGCTATGAATGTGGGTGTGCAAATATCTCTCTGAGACCCTACTTCCATTTCTTTGGGGTATGTGCCCTGCAGTGGAATTGCCGGGTCGTAGGGCAATTCTGTTTTTAGTTTCTTCCAGGAACCTCCACACTGTTTTCCAGAGCAGCCACACCAATTCACGTTCCCAACGGTGCACAAGGGTTCCCTTTTCTCCACATCCTCAACAACACTTGTTTTCTGCGTGTTTTTTTTTTTTTTAAGATTTTATTTATTTATTTGAGAGAGAGAGAGGAGAGCAAGAAAGCACAAGCAGGAGGAGCGGCAGAGGGAGAAGCAGGGTTCCCGCTGAGCAGGGAGCCTAACACGGGGCTCGATCCCAGGACCCTGGGGCCATGATCTGAGCTGAAAGCAGATGCTTAACCAGCTGAGCCACCCAGGCACCCTTGGGTTTTTTGATAGTAGCCATCCTAATGGATGTGAGGTGGTTCCGCTGAAAAAGGAAAAAGTCTGTGTTTGATGCAAATACACCTCACACCCTCCCCCTCTGTCCTCTCTCTCAAAGAGAGAGCAAGCGGCTTCCTGCTCAAAGTATCCAGACAGAAGGTAAGGATATTGGTTTGTTTTCCTGTGCTTATTTTCATGGTTACCCTCAATACTGTTAAAAAAAGGGGGGGGGCGGATAATGGCTTTCCATTTATAACAAAGTTTCCCTTTGAAAATTCATTGAGAAAAGACTTTAAAATTGCAGTGACTCAGGGGTCCTGGTGGGAGTGTATGTTGGCTCAGCCACTTGGAAAACTATCTGACAAACATCTACTAAAGCTGAACGAGCAATTTCCCTCCTAGATACTCACTCAAGAGAAAGGAAAACTCATGTCCACACAGACACTTGTACTCAAATGTTGCTATCAGCTGTATTCATAAAATACAGCTGTTCATATTCACAGACAACCCAGGTGTCTATCAACAAGAGAATGGATAAGTAAGCCACAGTTTATTCATATGATGGAGTATGACTCAGAAATAAAGGGTACAAACAAAAAGGATACATGCAATAACATGGATGAATCTAAAAATATATGTATTAAACTGAGTGAGAAAAGCCAGACACAAAGGAGAACACATGTGTGATCTTATTAATTTAAAAAAAAAAAAGTGTGAAGGAGCGCCTGGGTGGTTCAGTCATTAAGCGTCTGCCTTCGGCTCAGGTCATGATCCCAGGGTCCTGGGATCGAGACCCGCATCGGGCGCCCTGCTCAGCGGGAAGCCTGCTTCTCCCTCTCCCACTCCCCCTGCTTGTGTTTCTGCTCTCGCTATCTCTCTCTCTGTCAAATAAATAAATAAAATCTTTAAAAAAAAAATCTTATCGGGGCGCCTGGGTGGCTCAGTCATTGAACGTCTGCCTTCGGCTCAGGTCATGATCTCAGGTCCTGGGATCCATCCCCGCATCCAGCTCCTGCTCCGCGGGGAAGCCCGCTTCTCCCTCTCCCACTCCCCCTGCTTGTGTTCCCTCTCTCGCTATCTCTCTCTCTCTGTCAAATAAATAAATAAAATCCTTAAAAATAAAAAAGTGTGGTACAGGCAAAGAAATCAATGTTGGTATCAATTATTGGTTGTGTTGGGCTGGGGACAGGGGGAGGGGCAGGGGAACTTTCTCGGGGTGCCAGAGATGTTCTATATCTTGATCTGAGTAGTGGTCCCATGGGTGAAGACATTTGTGCAAATTCACTGAGCTCTCCCTTCACTGAACTGGACACTTCATGCCCATTGCTCTGTGTGTTTTAGACCTCACTAAAACAGAAAACGAAAATAAAATACAAACTGTTTAAATTTCATGGAACTTTATTTGTGGTTTGCTGCACATGCCTGTTTCGGTATATATGTAAATAAATGTTGGTTTTGAGAGTTGCACATTGTGTGTATTTTGTTGTGTTGCTTGAACCCGGTTCTGCGGTATCTTCAATATCAATGTTCATAAAGTTCTGACATTGAAAGGATGCTTTAGATATTGTATTAGTTTCCTAGGGCTACTGCAGCAAATTACCACAAATTGGGTGGCTTAAGACAATGCAAACTTATTATCTTATAGTTCTGCAGCACAGACGTCTGAAATGGGTCCCACTGGGATAAAATCAAGGTGTCTTAGGGCTGCATTCCTCCTGGAGGCTCTGGGAGAGAATCGATTTCCTTGCCTCTTCCAGGATCTTAAGCTACCTGCATTGCTTGGCTCCATGGCTCCTTCCTCCATCTTTAAAGCCTGCATTGGCCACTTGAGTCTTTCTCACACTGCATCACTGTGATTCTGACTCTCCTGCCCCTTCCACTTTTAAGGGTCCTCGTGATTGTTTTGCTCCCACACGAAGAATCCAGGATCACCCCCCATCCTCCAAGTCAGCTGATCAGCAACCTTAATCAGCCCTCACCCTGTATCAACACATTCACAGGTTCTGGGGATGAGGTCATGGGCATCTTTGGGGAACCATCTTTCTGCCTACCACAGGGATTAAATAAAAATGCTAGAAGAGGAACAAGGGAAGGGATGTGAAGGAAAAAGAATAGGGGAATGGTAGAGTGGGTGCTGCTGAGACGACTTACAGAATAGTTGAAGGTGGGGGAAGAATGGTGGTAATAGGATGCTCACGGCTGCCAGCCTGGCAAGGCGTGAATTTTTGGCTCTGACACGCATTCGCTGTGTGACCCTAGGCAGGCCACTTAAATTCTCCACATTTCAATGTGCCCATTCGTAAAGTGGGGGTGTCGACAGAAACGGCGGCTACCTCACCGAGTCATTGTGAGGCTTCTGCTGAGACCAAAGGAGACTTCATACACAGTGAGTACCTGACGAGTGGAGGAACACACAGGTTTTTCCTCTGGCTGGCTCATCCTTGCCCCTCTGTGTTGGCTTCTAGGAACCGTGCCCATACCTCAGGGCTGAGATGAGACATCACTTCCTGTGGGACCCCATTAGCACTTGCCACCCATGAGTGCTTGAACGTAAATGACTTCTTCAAAGCATTTCTCAGCCAGAACCTTGGGCGAGACCTGTGCTGAGTACTGGGGATTTGCAGATGAATTCAACACCTTCAGCGGCTCACATTCTCCTGCAGCAGGAGGATAGCAAGCAGAGAGGAAGGAACAGAGCCGCAGACCTGGTGCTGCCACAGATAGAGATACCAGCAGCAAGGTTCAACCTCCAGGAGCTCGGCAGATCACAAAATTGGGATAGACCTAAAAAGATAAAAGATGTCCCTCCCTGCTTTTACTTCACTGTTTGAAAGTGAAAATGAAATATGGGTCTAGAGAAATACTTCTCTATTGTAAGGAGGACGTGAGCAAATGCCAGCTGATGCCTGGGATGGGCAGAGGTGATAGGGTGTGGTGGGGACTGTGGCAAAGGAGAGATCCGGTCCCTGTCTGAAGAAGCCCAACCAATACTTGCCCGGTGAAAACGTGGGCGCATGGTCTATCTTCTGAATTCACGGGAGAACACTGGAAATCTACAGGTTTAGATGATCTTCAACATTTTAAAATACTTTCCGATGTTTCAAAGGAGGACACATGTCGGCGAGTCAACTAATGCAGGTTGTGGGGCTGTTAGTTTGCAATCTCGGTGTGCGCTGGGAAGTATGTAGAGGGTGCGAGAGGAGGCTGTAAGCATAAACATTTTCCAAGAAAAAAAAACCACTGGTCTTGATGGAAAAGTTCGTGAGGGAGCAGGAGTAGGGGGTTATGTTTTGTTTTTAACATGAGCTGTAATCGTGTGTTTAGACTGAGGGGAAAGAAGGCCAGGGAAGAGAGTGACCGACGGAGAGGACAAGAGCCTGGGGGTCCAGGTCGCAAGAGGCTGTATCTGGCTGGATGGAGAAGGGAGGAGGGGAGGGACAGAGAGAAACCTGAGGGGGCGGGAGGGGTGGGAAGGAATTCACGCCTCGCAGCCTCCGTGTTCTCGGCGAAATCGCCGACGGGTCATCCCCGGGGGAAGCGGCTGCAACAACGGGCCACCGCCACCGCAACGGTAACCCTGGCAGCCGCGTTCCCAGGAGCGCGCCAGGGTGTCGGGCCTCGCGGCGCACGCACAAGCCTTTCCTACTGTAACCCTCACCCTAATTCTCCGCGGCAGACCCTGTTCCGCCCATTCTACGGGCAGTGAGGGTCCTCACAGCCACACAGCTAATCGGAGCTGGGCGGGGGCGCAGCACGTCCGACCGCAGTGCCCGTGTGCCCGCGCCCGGCCGCCGCAGGGCGGTACGCGCGCGCCCAGACACGCGACGCACAGACGCGGCGTGCTGAACGCACCGGGAGGGCGGACGCGACGCCGAGACCCCCCGCGAGACCGGGGCGCACGTGTCCTCGGCGACCACGAGGGCGCGCAACGCAGGGTCACTCCCCTCCTCGCGCGGAGGCCGCCATTCAGCGGCCGTGCACGCGCAGCCGGGCAGCCCGCGCTGGGCGCAGGGCCAGACCCGACCCGGACCCAGCCCCGCCCTCTCCCAGCGGATGGAGTGGGGGACCCCCTCCCTGGACACGCACCGTGGAATGCCTCCGATCCCACCGCCAAACGCGGACGCGCTCGCACACATTTACGTGCGCGCTTCCCGGGTCGCCGCCCGCGCCCCCCGCCCTTTTCGAAGCCCGCCTCCCGCCCGCGGGGGTCCCTCGAAGGACTCACCCTCCCCAACCAGACCCAGTCCCGGCACTGCAGAGCTGGAGCCGCGGCGACCGCAGCTGCGCAGACGCGGAGGCAGAGGGGGTGGGGGTGGGGGGAGGTGGGGAGGGTGGGCGGCCTTCTCGCCGCCTCCCCTCTCCCCTCCCGGGGAGCCGGAGCCTGCAGTGGGGTAGGGAAAGGAGCGGAGGGGCACAAGGATGACGCGGCTGCGGTGAAGTTGCTGGAGGTGTGGTGCTGCGCCCGCCTTGGGTCAGCCGCAGTGGGATGAGCCGTCCGTCCCCCGCTGGTGGGCACGGAGGTTATGCCCAACTTCCCTAGCGGCAGATGCGCGCCAAGGCCAACAACTTTCTCAGGCTCCTTGGTGATGCCCTCTTCCGCAAACCCGGGTCAGGGTGGGAGGGCAGGGGTGTGGCAGCCCCTGGGACCCTGAGGCCAGACCGCCTGGGGTCGGAGGCTGGCTCTGCCATTTGCTACTAGTGTGTCCTTGGGTGTGTCGCTTAGCATCTCTGTGCCTCGGTTTCTCATTCTGCTTACCACCTCCCAAGACTGCTGTTAAGGTAAAAAATAAACCAGGCTTGTATGGTGCTTAGAACAGTGCCTAATTGTT